AATATATATATATATATATATATATATATATATATAAAACAAATTAACAACATAAACCAAAATGATTAAAACAATTGCAAATATAAGAACTAAAAAATATATATTAAATTTTAAAGACTAAAATAATTTAAAATATATAAATATATAAAGTTAAAAATTTATTTCAAACTATAAGAATTTAAAAAATAAAATGAATGAAAATATACCAACTTTTTTTTTTTAGGTGAAAATATACCAACTTAAAAAAGTATTTTAACGTAAAATGAATGAGGAGAGGAATCTCCCTAATATATTTTTATAGTTTCTGTATATATTAAAAAAAATGACGTGTTTTATTAAAATGTATAAACTAAAACATATTAAATTGAAATTTGAAAATTGTAATAAAAAATATTTTACCATATTAATTTATATAAGCCTGCCACTGTCGATTGGTTGCAGAGCTTCATTTCTTTCTAGAATTTTCAGCTTTCAAATAAAAATAAAGTCATTACCACTGGACTCCACTTTTATAATCATCGACCTTATGATGTGCTGTACGGACATTTCCATAACAAATCTTTTGACACTAAATTTGTTATTAGAGTGTGCAAGAGTTTGAGAGTTGATTTTTATATAAAAAGTATATATATTCTATATATAAATACCTATCACAAGTTTTTTTTTTCTTTCTGTGCGTGTAATCATAAACAATAAATTAAATTTTTACCACATAGAATAAATAAAATAAGTTCATAAAAACAAAATAATAAGAAGAAGATATTTCACGTACGATTCACCAAAACAAAGTGTTTTTTATCAACCCGAAACAAACTTTTAGTGACAACAATTTAAAAAAAAATTCAGAACGTGGCCCAGAAATTGTTTCACTCAACAAAGCCCAAGTTGGTATAAAAGGCCCATTAGTTAGCCCAAGAGACTGAGCCCAATCTATATGAAGTCAGCGCAGAAGGTCGAGAGCAATAGCAGAAAACAAGCTATGGCGGAAGAAGCGAAAGTTGCACAAACTTCCGATCCTCCGTTACCGTTTGATCCTAGTCGGAGTATTTCTCTTTCTCTCTCGTCGTTAAATCTTTTCTGAATTTTCGTTTTTCTTTCCTTTTTTCTATTTTCTCGCGCGTTGAACTTTCGAGTTTAGGGTTTTTATTTGAAACTTTGGGCGTGCATTATGGATTGCAATTGTGAGTTCTATGGTTGATAAATGATAATTCTAATTTATTTATTTATAAATGTTCGATTATTGTTGAAGTGGTTGGTATCATCAAAAGGAAGGCGTTGATCAAAGACTTGGCTGCGGTGTACCATGCTGAATGCCTTGCATACTGTCAAGAGCTTTTGGAACTTCAAACAAAATGGGAAGAGGTGAAATGCAATCTGAATCTTCTTTCTTTTTTCTAGTATCTTTGAGCCTCGTAAATTATTTACATTTTAGTGGTATAAGAAATCGGACAATTATTTGTATTTGGTACGCATAGCCTCGTATGAGTCATGTGTAGAGAAACTGAAGCCGAATTGTGACTACTTGTTTAGCATTATTGTGATTACATGTTGAAGCTTTTGGATTTAGCTTATTGAATGTGAGGAGTGCGCATTAGGAGAAAAAGTGTCGGAGATATAATTGTTGATTGGAAAATCGTTAAGATTGTAACAAAATACGTATTGTTTCAACAGAAAACAAAAATAATAATAAAACTGCCTTGATATTTTATGGCTTTAGAGTCTGCTTAAATAAACTTCTCCATAAACATTTTTAGAAGAAGAAAATACGATTTTCCTTCTTATTTTGTTCTCCTTAAGTGTTTATGAAAATTTTTATCCTAATAGGCTCTTCCTATGCATTATCTCTTCTAAAGTGTACCCTCTCACTTGAGAGAAGCCATGTACGTAGTTTTTAAGCTACTTCATAACTTTAATCCAATCCAGTTGGATTCTAATCTTTGTAACTAATCACAGTTTCATCAAACAGATAAACATATCGTAACAGTAAATGTCCACTATTTGAACTTTCAAATGGTTCTGATCCAACTTTCCCTTCAAAGTTTAATGATATGGCTTTATGTTATTCGCGCTAATCAGTAGTAGGCTTGTCTTAAAGTACGAAAATATAAGTATGAAGCGAGAATAGGCAGTGCTTCGATTTTTTTTATTATACTTTACCTATGTCTTATTTGTTTTCAGCCATTTATCGACATAAAAACTCCAGAGGAATCAAAAAAGGAGACAGCACGACCCTCTAAACGAATGAAAAAGTTGCGTTAGGTATGATACAACAAAATTTCATTGTCATTGTTAATTTCAATTCGATTCCAGTATGAGCATGTAAATGTCCTAAGGTTATTGTGCATCAACCCAAGTACATTAAAGGCATATGCAGATTCTGTGAGACCTTTATGCCCTGTTTTCCTTCCAAAATCCTATTGAATGTTCTGTTTTTCATGCAAGATTGCACGTGCTACAATTACCAATTGTCTCAGTTTTGTGAAATTAGTTTTGAAAAATTGGTGAGTAAATATATGATGGTTTCCCACCTGGTTTTTGTTACATGTGAAGGTGTCATGTGCATCAATATGTTATACTGGAAAGCTGCGTTGTTCATTGGTTTTTTTCCGTTTCAGGCTTTCCGGCGGTTGCCCCATAAGGCCATAACTCATTCTAGACCGCATATATGCACCATCAGAGGATACCTTTTCTTTGCTGTTGGTGTACCCGTTTCTATCAGAGCATACATTTAATCTATTATTGGTGTACTTTTCAAACGCTACTGGGACGTCATGTTTGAGGTTTCATCCATCAGCATGCTGCATGCAGCCATGGGGCATTTCCCATTGCTCGATATAATAGATAAATGTGATAAGGTCTTTGTTGGGAATGTTGTATAGAATATTTTCAGTCCTGCGTCCAGGTGTTGGGTACAGCCTATTGTCAATATTTTAGCATTGAATTCTTATTTTTCCTTTTTCAAATTAAATGACTCAACAGACGGCTTACATGTTTATATACAAGTAATTAGTTAGACCCAGATATAAGATACCAAAATTTTATGCATTTCAGGCTAAATATTGACTTGGTACAGAAAATAGTGACCTATACAAAATTCGAGATTCATAATGAATTCTCCCTTAATAATACAACAAACTCTTCCAAAAAATATGACAAATGAAGAGAACCACTGCACTGTAAACTAACTTCACTGTAAAAGGCCTCCCATTGGTGAGCAGTCATGGAATATATATAATGATCGTGAGTTGTCACTTGAGCAGAAACGGCATGGCAACTGAAAACCTGCAAATTATTTATAATTAATTAACAAAAATTCAATACTGGTTTATATCTGTTTTAGTTACAAATTGATGTAAAAAAGACTAGTCCCTCTCTCCTTCTTGTAGTTCATAGCAGCTAAATGAGCATGGCATGCACAAAAAAGTATATATGAACTGACCTCGGCATGCTTCAAGAGACATTCCATTGTCTAAACTTGCATATTCCACGACGATCTTCTGCAAAAGAGTTGCGAATAGACTGCAGCATAGCACGCACAGCAGGAACATGAACCAAATTTCCATGCTGCTCCTGCATAAGTTTACTATAAGACTAGACCCACCCAAGGACACCGTTACATCAACGACTGCCTCAAAGAAATATAGAAACACAAATAATACCACTTCTGCAAGCCTTTCTTCAAAAGACCCGGCATTTGCATCAATACACATGAATATCTTTCGATAAGCTGTCCTCAGGCTCCTGATCTGAAACATTGCCCAAGAAAATTGATTAGTTGTGATTAAATATAAATATAATTCAAGGCAACTAAATTTGAAGTTTTGAACTTAGTGAACATAAACCTCTGCAATGCTGAATCCATATCGTGTAAGGCCCACCAAATTTAGACCCCGAAGCTCAGCTCTTTCTCCGGATACCATCATGTACTTTGGGACATCTTGTGAAACCTTCATTTATGTAAGAACATGACATTGTAGTTGCACACCTGAGTAGTTGTAAATCAATTTGGCATGGTAAAAGTATTTGTTTTAACAAGTTCTTCAATAAGGGAGATTTGATGTAATACATTCCAAAGATGGCACCCCCATGTGCTAGAATCCATTTTAAATAAACTTTTGTTGAAATCATCTCAGTGAAAAATAAGGGTTATTGATTATTGGATGCCAAAGTCGAGAACAAATCCACTTTTACTATATTACTCTTATTTACAGTAATAGATACTGTAGGGCCCGCTGAGAAATTTAGATCTCTATCAAATTTGCCTATGTCTAAAGGATATGAAGTGATCTTAATTGTGGTGGACAGACTTTCAAAGTACATGCATTTTATCATGTTAAAACTTCCCAAAAGAAAAGCCAAGGTAGTTGCTGAAGTGTTTGCTAAGCGGTGGTCTGGTTACATATTTCTCACATACTCCTCACCGTTCACAGCCATTAGTAGTTTAGTACTAGTACCAGCTACTAGATAACTAGGTCCTACTTAAACTTCTGCTGACTGGCTTAGATTTTGTACAGTATCCTTTCATGATTGCATAACAATCACTTCCCTAGTTATAAAACAGATTGATTCAAAGCAATGAAGATTAAAAGATAAACCTACCACAGAACCACCACCAAGAAAGGCAAAAGAGCCAAGATGACAGAATTGGTGCACAACAGTTGCACCTGCAGTGTGAACGTAGTCCTACATATGCAGAGTTATAATTGATTTTCCAATTCCATTTTAAAACAAAAGAAATTAACAAAGTAGAATTTATCAAAAGATTAACTTCAGATTTTAGAACTTACTTCCACTTCGACATGCCCAGCTAGAAGAGTATTGTTAGCAAAAATATTGTTGTTACCAATCTTGCAATCATGGGCAATATGACAAGATCCCATTATAAAATTGCCGCTACCAATAACCTATCATATGATCATGGTGAGTATGAAAAGGTGTATACGCTTTTGTGTCTGAAAATTTCTAATTTTTTTTATGTAAAAATTTACTAAAAGGTAATATATGCTTCCTACCGTCCTATCGGTTGATTTTGAAGATCGATGGATTGAAGTATGTTCCCTAATATCATTATTGTGTCCAACTTCCAGGAAACATTCATCCTTTGGCTACATGATCAGCACAATTAAGAACTTATATTTTTGTCAAAATAAGTCAGACATGAATGACATGATTTTGCAACCCATAACATGAGTGCAAACATTGAAAGCGATTCATATATAGGTTAATACAGATACCTAGCATAACTAGTTAAAAAATGTACTGCAAATAACAAGATATTCTCAAAAGATAGATATGTTGACAACTCTCATAAAATTGCACCCACACAGATGGAAGTCCATCAATAAATAGTAACATCACAAAGGAAAAGTAAGTGCATACCAATGAGGACTATAGCCAGAAAAGACAGTTTAGATATATAAATCAAAATCAATCAAGCACTTTGTCCTGATAGCTTAGGCTTTTGCTATGATTAGTTACTTAATGTGGTATGGATGACGAAGAGCACCTGATGTATCCATCCTTCAAACCCAAAGAACTTTTACGTGAAGGGTCCAGTTAATCATGTAAATTAGGGTTGTTCACATGTTGTTTGGGTTGGGTTTCATCAAACTCATTACCCAACTGGATCAATATAGTTTGGGTTGGGTTGGGTTTGTGAAATTTTTTTATCAAACTCAAAACAAATCGAACCACCCTCATCAATAATGAGTTGGGTCATTGGGTACAAAAAAATAAAAATTATTTTTAACAAAATATTAACATCCAAACAAACATTGAAAATTCATACATACCTAATTATTAATATATAAATGAAAATGAAGAACCAGTAAGTCATTATTCTTTTAATTTTTTTTTTCATGTTGAAATATTAAAAACAAATATATCAACTATAATATTAAAGTAAGATTTTTTGGGTTAAAACTTTTTCATCACATAAAATAGACTTGTTATAGACTCCTAAGTATTGAACACAAATTTTATTTGTGCATATGCTTCGCAAAGACGTAATAAAACACATCTCACTAAAATAGACTTAATTACTAACATTATACAGTTCATGTGAAGCATACCTTGTATTTCATGTCTTGACATTTGACACCTATCACAGCATGATATCCTATTCTGTTATTACTTCCAATGATGGTACATCCAGGATAATCATCACCAACAATAGCACCGCTATCATATAATGGTTCAAAACAAAGACGTTCAGCAGAGCAGAACCTTAAGAGAAAACAGTGATCATAAGTCTGAACTCACGTCATCAACATGCAATTGTCCCCTAACTCTGTACTTCCAAAAACATGGCTTCCGGGATATAGTTGGCAGCCATTCCCTAGTTTTGCAGAGGAGCTAACAGAACAAAAAGGACCAATCGAAACACCCTAAGCATAAAAGCAGGAGACATTAAGCAGTGAAAATAGGATTGATGAATGTACAGCATTATTTATGTGAATACTGCATCATAGCATGGCACAATATAATAAGAAATACAGTTTGTGTAGATTCAAGTTCAAACAAAAGATCTTTGAAAGCTTAACTACTGAAAGTAAAAAAAAAAAAAAAAAATCCGGTAGAGAAGTCTTCAAAAGCTCTTTTGTACCCAAACAAATTAATAAAGTGTAATACACATGACAAGTAGTCAAGTATACATTAACTGTGGAGAACAGACACCAAACTCTATATGCTCCCCCACGTGTTTCTAAGACTTCAAAAAAGAAGTTACTTGACTTTCTTTTCGTCAACGGAACACCAAGGTTTTAAATTACAGTCTTGGTTTTGTCATGAAACTTGGCATTGAGGACAAATGCTGGCTGCAAGTGCTTTTGAAAACCTTGGTCAACAAAACATTACTGGTCAATGAAGTCTAAAATATTTTCCTTCAAATTTCGAAACCTTTAACTTTGGGCATAGGACCAATACCACAAAAATAATGCTGAATGGAACAACCCGCAAGAAAGTTAGATGCTCAGTGGAAAACTACATTGAACGCAAAGGCTAACAAAGGGTACAACCTACGTTTTCACTTCTCGATTGGCATCACTTAAAAACTAACCTAACCGAGATACCCAATTCGAAAGGAATATCATTTGAGGTACCCAATAGAAATTAAGAGGAAAAGGAGGAAACTTTTGGGTGAAGAGGTACCTGGCCGATGACGGCATTGGGGTGAACAATGGCAGCGGGGTGGATAAAGCCTGGTTTTGAAGTGTCAACCCTCTCCCCATCCGCAACATCTACCACCACACAAACACCTCGAAGTCAAAGCAAAAAACAGAGACATAGAAATTGTTTAGTATTGATTTGAGGGTTGATAGAAGTAGCGAATGAGTAAGGAAGATACAAGAGAAGGAGCGTGGCAGATGGAGCAAACTTCGGATTCGGAGCGCACAAGAAAGGGGAAAATGGCTGCGACCGCCTACCTTCAGGAACCGCCACATCTTTCCTTTGCTCTTCTTCTTAGCAACAACACACTTAGATTAAAATGTTTATTTATTATTATTAAAATAATCTTTATTATCTCATGAGATACTCTTTTTGTTATATATTATAAAGAAAAAAACAATTAATTTTAATCATGTTAAAGAAATTAATCATTTATATTAAATTTTACTAATATTATTATATTTTTTAAAATTATCTTTATTATATAGCCAAATGATAGTCATATATTAAAATAAAATGATATTTTAGAGAAAAATATTATTAAATAAAATAAAAGTAATTAAAATTTATTTTTTATTTATAATAGAAGAAAAAAAAAGTATTAGATTCATAAGAATTTTTATTTGATTTTATGTGTTATATAAAATAATTAAATCATAATTCTTTCAAAACACTTAACCCTTAATTTGTTATTTGTTATTTATTATCGTTACATTGTTATTATTAATAAGCTCAAAATACTTTATATATCTATGTGTATTTTACATAAATAAAAGGTAACATGTTTATTAAACTAATTCCACTATTAATATAAATAATGATATTTTTATTATACAGTAAAGAGATGTTATGTTCCCTTATATATTTTCATCTAGTAGACATGGAGAGAGAAAAATAAATAAATTTTAAAATTATAAAAATATTGTGAATTGAGAAATACAAATCACAAAATATAAAAGTAATTTACTCGAACAATAAAAATAAGTAGGAGAAAAAAGTTGACATATGTAGGTAATTAATTAACATGAAGAAGTTATTATATTTAAAGTGTTTAATTAAAGAGGTTTCTAAAACTCGAGAGAGTTCCAAAAACTAACTTTATAGATAGGGGTGACAAATTTTGATAGTAAATAATGTTTAAAGCTATCTTGACTTTGATAGAGAATATTTAGTTTGACCAAATATGAGTACGGATAATATTTGAATTACTAAATCAAGTATGGGGACACAAATTGGTATACAGTTACTTACTCGTGTTCTTATTCTCGCTTTAAACTTCTAAAATTCTCTTAGATTTTTAGGGTTATAATAGGTAAACAAAAATAATTAAACCCTTCATTAAGAAATTTATCTGTTACTCTATGTTAGAATTTGTATTGTTATATTTCTTTGCAAAAAAATATTCAGTTAATTTTCTTGGTAGGTATAAGGTAGGGTATGGGTATATCCAATATTTGGCGAGAACAAAAATAGGGCACAAACTTCATGCCTATCAAGTATCAAAAATAGGGATAAGTATAGGTACAAACTCGAGAACGGGACGAAGATATTAAAACTCGTATCTATCTTGTCTCGTTGCCATTCCTAATTATAAATATGAGAAGTGAAAGAGAGAGATGACATATGGTATGGACAATGGGTCAAAATTATATATTATAAATATATTAAAAAATAATAAATACAAATCTAATAAAGATATGTATTTTAAAAAATGGTGATAATGAGTTTATTTGTTTAAAAAAAATTATAAAAGCCTTTTTTTAAAATAAAATAAGCACTTTTTTTTTAATATGTTTCTCTTAATTTATTTTTTTGAAATAAACAATTTTCTACTTTTTAAGAAACAACTCTTATCTATTTAAAAAAAATCATTTTTTAAAAAATACTTCCTTTTATGTTTGAACAAGAGAATCCAATATAGAAGTTAAATAATCAATATATGAACAAATAAATCTAGGAAAAAAAAATGAGAAATTTAGAAGGGATTGTGAGTGGATGAGATGAGTAGTGATATTGATGAGAAAATGTGAAGAGAGACTATCTAAGATAAATAAAAATAAATAAAAATAAAAATAAAAAAGAGAGAGAAAGTTGGGAGGAAAGAGAAACCAAAAGTTAAACAAAAATTATGTCATTTATTATGTAACATATAATGTGTTAATTAATGACTTAACATATATAGTTAAAAATTTCGTTGATAGTAAAAACTAATTTGGATGATTATGAAAATAATTATTTTAGTACTCAATTAGTTATTTTAATTAATATATAAATTAATGTGTTGCAAATAATTTTTTATCTAGCTAAAATTTATATAAATTAAAATATCATATCATTTATAATTTATAACTATTAGTAAAGGGGATTTTTTTTTTTGTAAATAAAATACTTTTTTCATTAAACACTTCTATTTCTATTTTTTTAACATTTTTATCCATTCAATCATACATAGATGTCCAAAAATGTCTTAATCTTACTAATATAAGTATAATATTGTTGGGGTAGAGTTGTGGAAAAAATTTAAGTAATCAAAATATTCTTAAGAAATTGTTCGACTAATCAAAGAAGAGCAGTTATAAGCATTTTAAAAAAGTTATCCACATTTGCATGAATAATAGAGTGATTATAGATCAATGGGTAATGACCGTTCCTCGAAAATTAAAGCCAAGGACCTTGAAGAGATTATTCGAGAATCAAAAGTGTAACAAACAGTTGTGGGAAGTTAAGAACGGTTAAGAGGGGTTACCCATGTCGCATAGCGTGAAATAGTTGCACATACCACGTCGAATCAATGCAAAAGTAATCGCTCTTTCTAATCCTCCATAAATAACAAGGCAGGCTTATTCGAAAGGGTCAAAAACCTGATACTTACATGCTTCTTTACATCCAATGCTTGCATCCATGGCTTTCGTGCACAAGGTGACTAAGTATGGTTTCTAGGCCAACTTTTATTTTCGTAGCTTAGTTTCTTGTTCTTATTTTAACATAACTAGGATAATTTTATCTCGGCTTAATGTAACATAGTTTTGTAAAATCTTTTGTTTCTCAGAATCAATATATGTTGTATTTTAGCAAGTATTTGGAGCAAATAAGTGATGATTTCTGTTATTAATATATATATTGTTCATTCAATTTATTTAAAAGTCAATATGCATGAATCTCGCTTCATGGTAATCATCGAGGAACATCTAAAAATCTTTGTATGCTAAATTATATATATAATTAAATTGGACCACAATTAGTTTTATGTAGTAAAAATTGCTTGATATACATACCTAAATTGAAACTAAATTGAAAGTGTTGCTAATTCAAATACATAATGAATTTCACCGGAAACAAATATATTTGTCCCTTATAACATACAACAACATCATATAGTGTGTGACGTTATGTTGTGTGTATGAGAAGTTGTGACAGAATTTGGAAAGGTGTGCGGGAAGTTGTAGGAGAAGGTGGAAACTTAAAAATACCTAAAACAACATATCTTGGGAAGTAGAGTGGAAAGTGCAAAAACTTCACAAAAATTGAAAAGCAAAATTAAGCAATACTGGAATCGTGAATTGGTACGCTCAATTCGCGGTTCTCACTAGTACAAAAAGGATAATTTATGTCACTTATTTTAAGTTTTTTACGTCAGAAAAAGATCCGACGTAAATGCGGGAGACGTAAATTTACGTCGGCTGTGATAGCCGACGTAAATTTACGTCAGAAATTCACAAGAGCTTACGTAAAAAAGTTGGAAACCAAAAAAAAAACAACAAGCAGAACGACCCGTTCTGCTTGGAGAACGGCTCGTTCTGCTTGGAGAACGGCCCGTTCTGCTTGCCCGTTCTGCTTGGAGAACGGCTCGTTCTGCTTGGAGAACGGCCCGTTCTGCTTGCATATCCACCCACTCTGCTTGCAGATCCACCCACGCGCAGAGCATTTTCTACCTGTATTAACAAACGATGATCCAGCCAAATGCGAAGAAGATGATAATATTAACTAGTATATTAATAGATAAATACATACATTTATTTTCAACAAATAAGCTAATATATTAAGAAAGGATTTTCCAAATTAACTTTAAACGCGAGCCCAATACAATCGGTCAAAAATTCAAGAATCACCCAAACGCGCAAACATACACTCAATGCAATACACTCAAACGAAATCTTAACTTAGAAAACTCGAATGACACTTACACTCAAAGCTCTCTTATTTAAATATTGACGCGCGCGCGAATACAATTTGAAATTTGTAGATATTTTACGTCGGACCTCGTAGGGGCCGACGTAAAAAAGTTGGACTTAATTAAAAAATGCTACCGCAATTTTTTAACGTCGGATTCTTCTTTATCCGACGAGAATACAGTGACGTAAATTACCATTTTTCTACTAGTGCTCCTCCATAAACAACAAATTATGTGATTCTACTAAATTGAGTATCTTCACCACAACTCTTATGTTTTTTATGGGATCTTTTTGTTCCATTTTCATGGTACCAAAGGCTAAGGTAGCGAGTGGGAGTATTTTTAACCACTCTAAACTTTATCTTCGCGGTCGGTTGACACACCTCCTTGTTCTTCTTATAGTCTTGGTGCTTAAAAATCTTATCTATAGATGATCAAGTTTCTTTTGTCATCTCCTCGTCTGCATTGAAAATCATTATCTCCTTGCCTGCATTGAAAAATGTGTTCATAGCCTCTAATCTTATTTCACATCCTACATAAATGAATCTCTAAAAAAGAAGTAGTTTTGTTAAGAATAAAAAACAAATACTCAGATAATTAGTTACTATGCAAGTTCAAACAGATATAGTGAAAATATAAGGATTCAATTCTTAAGAGAGCTAGCACACTTCTGAGAAATAAGAATTCATAGATTTTTTTTATTTAACTTTATTCTCTTATAACAGATATTCTTCTTTATAATTATATTACTATGTCAAATATATAATTTTTCACTAACAGATGTATTGGATAAGTATCCAAACACATTTAAAAACATTGAAATTTTTCTTCAAGCTTGTGTTATGTTCATGAAGTAATACATGTTTACTTAGACGCGATCTAATTAAATTTTAATGAATTCATGCAGTACAGGATCGTTTCGTGACATGACAGGATGTCATGACATGGACCACGTACTTGATCAAATCCCATGTGTTTTACTTTTACCTTTTTCACATATAAACTTGATCATTTCTTGATTTTTTTTTAGACTTTGAATATTCTAATATTCTTGTAGCTTTTTATATTTTGAAACATGATTTAACCTTTAAAGCACCTGAACATACTCAAGGATGAGCCTTAATATTTAAAATAAAATCACAAAGAAATTATATAAATTAAGCTCATATTCAGGTCATTAATGAAAAATTAAGCATTAAATCATAAGATATAAATAAATAGCTTCTATTAGCGAAGTTATTAAAACATCACTTGAAATTGCTGTAATAAAAAACATCACTTGAAATATTAAATTTATATGTTTAAAAATATTTATTTATATAAAATTTAAATAATATATATAATATTTTATTTTTATATATAATTTATTATAAATTTTATTTACATATGTTAAAAATATAAAAATTTAATATATATTTTACATTACTAAAATATCTTAATATAACTTTTACTTAGGGTTTCAAATACCCTTGAACTCACCTTATTTGCATTATTGTTCAGAGGAGTGTAAATATATGATAAACAATCACGTCGAAGTGTAGCCTTCTAACACCTGGAGAACCTGTATGAGAAATAACATAAAAATGAGAGTGGCTAGGGTGACAAAGAACAGTACTAACCACGTTCAGAATCACAATTAATTGTGCAAACACTTAATGCAACACTTACTTAAAGCAAATATTTCTTCAACAATTAATTGTTTCCCATCTTAATTTTGTCGATATAAGTGATGATTTTAACTCTTTGTTCTTTTTTCTATTTAATTATATAGAGTATTAGAAATGATGTTAAGCAATATTCTAGTTATTAAATGATGAATATTTAATACTTCAAAAATTAATTTTTATTACTTTAGAGACAATTTAAAAGAGTGTATAATAGTTCAATAACAAAATTAATAGTTTCATAATTTGTTTTATTTCTCTTTTGGTTTCTGTATTTTTTCAAAGAGAGAAAGCTAAGAAATTGGTTTATGATCAGCTTTATAGAAAATGAAATAAAATCAGGTTTTTTCTTTCATTTTTTTTTTTGCGGCATATTTTATTTTTCATATCCCCACAAAACAATCAATAAGTGAGAGTTATGATGGATGGTGAAATACTGGTCCAACATATTTTGTGTGGAATGCATACCAAACAGTGCATGCAGATTTTATTTTGAACTTTTTATGCGGTGATATAAACTGAGATATATTCCGATGTATTCTTGATAAATTTGAATTAGGTGCTGCTGCATGTTCTTTTTAATACCCGTATTCGAGACGGTTGAATTCATATATATGAGTATGACATTGAATACCAAGGCAATACATACATATATAATCATAAAATGAGAATTCTCCTACCAGAGACATTCGTGGCCTTAAATGTGGATCTTGTTGTATGCACAACGAGGAACATTGCAGCATGCGATGAACCTGATCAATGTCACAGTTTCTTATACTTGGATCTATTATTTCATCAATTTCATGTCTCTCAAGCAATGGACGTGCCTATACAAACCATACATAAGCATGAAATAAATTTAATTAAACTGATCTGTTTTTGTTTGACAAAATGAAATTCAATCTAGATTAAATTCTTGAATAAAAATCAATATTTTCATATAGATGATAAATGGGATAGCATTAAACTCATGAATCGTAAATTCGTAACTAAGAATTTTACCCATTCATGGAGGCATTGCTGGCCTTTGGGTCTGCTTTTATCTAAAGCTTTACGTCCAGTAACAAGCTCTAGTAATAGTACCCCAAAGAAGAAAACATCAGCTTCTTTAGTGATTTGACCACTTTGAGTGCATTCTGGAGCCAAATACCTATATATATCCATGCAAGAGCAATTTTTCCACCATCACTTTCTAAATCTAATCCGGGTCTATTTTTTGAATTTTTTTTTTCATTAACACTTCTAAAATTGAAAAAATAAAATATTTTTTTTTGTAAATTTAAATTAATTTATACATAAATTAATTTGTAAAAGTTTTCTTCTATTAGTTCTTTTATAATCTCATTTTCAACTCAAACATAAGTTGTTAATTTTAGTTTATGAAAAAATTTAAAATTTCTAGTTTTTTTCTTATAAAAAAAATTAACAGAAGAGATGATGGAGAGAAGGCAAATGATAAAGAATTGGCTTTCATCCAGTAGTACACTACCCAAGTGTTCCTGGCACCCTGCTTTCCACATCCATTTCTCGATTCGTATGCCACCTGGCAAGCCCAAAATTTCCCACCTAAATCCATTAGTCGCAGTTAGTTGAGACATTTTATCCGTTGAAAGCATGATTCTTTATATTAACATACACAATTAATCCTTGAGAAGAACTACCTAACATAGTATAATAAAGATGTAGGAAAAACAAAAGATAGAAGATTAACATGAAGCTACTAATTGCAATGGTAAAAACATAGAGTTAAGAAAGAAGATTATATTGATACATTTTAACATTAAAAAAAAATTGGAGTTGGACATACTAATGCCTCGAAGTCATGAGTAAGGAGAATATTGCTAGGCCTCACGTCGCGGTGCACAATACAACCCACTCTACATTCTTCATGAAGGTACCTCAAACCACGAGCTGCTCCTAGTGCAATTTTTTGACGTGCATGCCAATTCAATACATTTTGATTTTTTCCTGCAATTACCATATAAGATTTTAATTTGCATACTCTTATTAGCTAATCAGATAATACAGTATGCCAAAATGGTTCAACATAATTACCATGAAGATGAGAATATAGAGATCCATTGCAGACATATTCATAAACCAGAAATTTTCTTCCATCCTCCACACAAAACCCAATTAGCATCACAACATTACGATGTTGTGTACAACTTAAAACCTCTATTTCTGACAAAAATTCTTCATCACCCCGAGCACCAGTGTTATACCTCTTGATTGCAACAACCTGCTCATCAGGTAGCACTCCACGGTGTACAGAACCAAACTCATCTTCAGCCAAAAGATTTGGCTGTGAAAATCCATCAGTGGCAAGTTGCAGTTCAGAAAATGTAAACCATCTTAGAGGGTTCCCAAACAAAGGTGCCTTGTGCTGACAAAAAGAGCACAATGGGGGGGTCGCAGTAGTGGCAATTGGAACTAGTGAAATTGTTTCTGTAACACTTCTATTCAAGTTCACATCAAGTTTACAATTAAGTACTCCTAAGATAACATCATGATCCAATTTCTGAACCAATGCTTCGGCTTGAGAAACCGAAGCCTCATCATCAACACAAATTTTATTTGAAGTCCATGGCTGAAAATATGAACTAGAGGAGGATAAACTCAAAATAATTCCACTCTGTGAATTGGATTCACCTTCCTCCACATTTTTCAGCTCCTTTTGAGAGAAGGAGAAACCTCTCCTTTGTCCAAAGATACTTTCTGTCATGTTTGACCCTTGTTTTAGACTACTAGCTGCAGGAATATTAACAACTGGACCCCTAATTGTATCTGCATTTTTAGAATTTTCTTTGATGTTTCTTGGAAATGCATTCTGCTTCATGTTTCTTGAACTTATCAAATTCAATCGCAGAACATTTGGCCGCGATCGTTCTATGATTACCACACTACAACTCAGCTCCTCCATGCAGTATTTCTTTTCATTTTTCAATTTTCTGTAAACATGAACATTACCTTTTCAGTTCGTAATAAGAATTTGTTAACATTCACCAATGGCATTGCTATATATCCACAGACACATAAAATAGAAAGTAAAATGATACGTGAACAACAAATCTATACAATAAATTGTACAATATCATTTTGGGTGTCTATCTCTCCATCACAATAATAGAAAGAGATAGACATAAAAGATGCTTATAAATTGTTGTGCATGGATCATTGTTGGAATGGAAAATGAATATGAACTGAGAAGTGTTAAATTAGACAATGTCATTGCATTTACAAACAACAATTTCTTCAGCTTAGTATATAAAAAAGCAACCATGTTCATCATATTTCTTACTTGTCTAATATTACCCAGCTTGATTGGGCTCTCTTGGCTTCAGCAGCCACAGCTCCACACAAAGAACCAGAAATAATTTTTATTCTGATCTTTATCTATTTAAATATTTGTCAGGTCAGAAAAGCTGAATGTTAGGACACAAAAGCAAATGGAAAAAACAAACATATTTGGAAGTTATTGAAAAGTTATGTTTTAATTTTTAACCTTCTCTGGATCATAAAATTCATGAAGTTGAAGCACCATTTGGGAACATGAATTTACACAAACTTGTCTCTGATCTGAGACGGTTCCTAAACGGGATGTCCTCTGACTAGTGATACAATCAGTAGCAAGCCTACAGAGGCTGCGAATCCTGTTGTCTGAATCTGAACATGTAAAACACAAACAATCATAATCACTGCTAAAAGAACAAATAGAACATACTGGTATCCGTTCAGATAGACTTCTCTATAAGTATTTCTAAAAAAGAAAAGTGAAATAAATTTTTCGATTATCTAATAAATAAAAACTCTTTCAAATTAATTTCTACAAAAAAATCATTTTAACTTGTGCATATGCTAATTTAGCTAACAGAGAAGTTTAATTCATTTTTTTTCTTACTTTTTTCTTTTATAGGTATTTGCAGAAAAGATTATCCAAACATACTCAAATTCTTGACAATAATGAAGAAAACAAAGAAATATACTTGAGCACATACAAGGAATGACACCCAGCAGCTTAATACAATCCCCTGGTTGAGCAACATTAGTCAATGCCCACACCAAAGCAGTCCTTGGAACTTCTTTCGTAGCTTCAACTGCAACCACCACCACTTTCCCACTCGCACTACACCAACCTTTCTTTCTATAACAATCCTTTTGCCTCATTTCAACTTGCCATGTAAATCATAACACATCCAAATTCTAAGTAATCAAAAATCAGAGGACAAAGAACAAAATATAAGCTGAAAACAAGTGTTGACAGTGTCACTAGAATTGAGAGAAATTGATACTAAGACTGCTAGCTATAGTATATAATTTAAGTAAGTATCGCATACTTTACTTATAATTTATAAATCACTCTGAAATATAGTGTGATGGTGATGACGTGCAACTTTTATAATAATGTTAAGTATCTTTGAAAGTTCAAAGAATTTAGTATATTTAATTTGGAAATATATATTTCAGTAGTCGGCACGAAATTGCACCACCCCTCAATCACCACCCTATGTGCACCTGAATGGAGAGATTGATAAGATGTGAATTAACAAGTTATTTCCATATGTGGGAAAGTGCCCAGTGGAATAAATTTATTCCTTGGAGAAAACCTTTGCATAATGCCTGAAATAGAATGGCCAAAGGCATGAACGAAGATCGATTTGGTTGGGGTATTGTCATTTTGTTTGCTTTTGGCAGATGCAATAAGCCAACAAAAGATATTTAGTTATTCACTTAGTCTTATTGGATGATAACTGTTTGTTTGTGTGTCTGAATTGGATGAGATAAGGGACCTATTTTCGGTCGAATTGAATTCGTTCAACCTATTATTGGTACAAATCTTGGACATGATGCCAATACTTTTCTTTCAAGTTTCAATTCACTGGTGAAACAATTTTATTAAATTATCTTTATTGGTTATTGAAAAACCATTATATTAAATATTCATTTGACAAAAAACTATAATAAACGATTTACTTTTTACTAAAAACTTAAAACGTCATTTAATATCATCTTTTGTTTATGAGTCATTATCTATCCATTTGAATTAATAAAATGAAATATGGAATCATTCTTACATTTTTTAAAAATTTAAAAATTTAATCTATACATTAAAAATTTAATAAAATATTAAATTGAATAATTATATTTTTAAATTTTTATGTAAAATATGAGTTATTAAATAGAGTAAATTTAGGTAATTCCTAGAATAAATGAATATATATATATATATATATATGAGGAGAATTATAATAACACCGATGTAACTTTTACTGGTTATTACACCGCTCGATAACTTTATACTAAATATGAATTTTGTAAATTCAACTGTTAGATTGAAAGTTCCTATCATTTTATATGTTTATATCAAATTTTTATTAATCCAAAATTCACATTTGATATAAAATTATTGAACGGTGTAATACTTAGTAAAAGTTACACCGGTGTAATTATAACCTCCTCATATATATATATATATAGAGGAAGATTATAATTACACTGCTGTAACTTTTACTAAGTATTACATTGTTTAATAACTTTATATTAAATGTAAATTTTGTAAATCCAGCCGTTAGATTGAAAGTTCATATCACTTTATATGTGTATATCAAATTTTGTTAAAATTGAACAACAACTTGAAGGTAATCAAAGTGTTCATATTTTAGTATATTTTGAAATAAATATATTACGTGAATTTTGTTTTATAAAAATGAAATATTAAATCATCTTGAATTAATATGAAATTTTGTATATATGATCTAAGAGTAAAGAACTTTTAATTTAATAGTTAACTTTACAAAATTCACATTTAATATAAAATTATTAAGCAGTTTAGGGTTTAGGTTTATATAACCCTCTTCATATATATATATATAAAAACTTTTGTATGTGTTATAGGAAGTATCCACTAAAAATGATGTTTTATCTAATAAGTATTTTTTTATATTGTCAATCAATTAAAAACTTTTGTTAGAGTAACAATGAAGATAATTTTTATAAAAGAGAATAAACTTAACATACATGATATTTTGAATTACTAGTATAAAATACTTTTACAAAGTCGATATATAATCTATTTTTTAAAATAAAATAATTCTTAAAGTATAATTAACTTGATGTTCTCAAGTTTATTTGTGTTAAAATAATATTTAGTCAATGAATCATGCTTTACGAATACAAATTAGTCATTGATTGTGTTTAAATTAACTTATACAAAAAAATTATTCAGAAAGTGACAATTACATTTTTTTTCAAAAGTTAAAAATATTTTAATTAAAAACTTTTTTCTTCTACTTCAAGTTTCTATAAGGTATTTTTTAACTATTTATTGATATAAATTAATTTCAGAAATGATTAATCTCTGTGAAAATTTTAACCGGTCAAAAATAGAGTTTTTGCCAAATGTTTTTTTCCATTCACAATGTTTGTAATAAAAAATTTTGTTTAAGTGAATTAAGTCCAAAATTTCATTTGAAATAATAATTTACTTATGCCAAATTAAAGCTTTAATGAAGTGAAAGGTTAAAATTGTTGATATATATAATATTAAGCATTAATGATTTTTTTTCCCCAATTTTACATTTAAAATAAAAGTTATTCCTTTGTGTAAAAAAAATAAAATTTATTGCCAATTTTAAATTAAAGTTTTAATAAAGCAAAAGGTTACCCTTAAAAAAATTGAAAGGTTAAAATTACTAAAAATATCAAACATCAAATGAATATTTTTCCCCCAATTTTTCGTTTAAAATAACATTTATTCCCCATCTTTACATTAAAGTTTTAATAAAGCAAAAGGTTACCTAAAAGAACCAAAAGGTTAAAATTGTTAAAAGTATCAAGCGTTTAAATGAATATTTTTTCTTCTTCTCAATTCTACGTTTAAAATAGCATGTATTCTTGATCTTTTACATTAAAGTTTTAATAAAGCAAAAGCTTACCCTAAAAAAAAAACTGAAAGGTTAAAATTGCTAGTACATTTTTTTATAGGGAGAATTATAACAATTTCACCAATTAATTTATATATGTATATATAGATAAGAATTATAATAATGACAACAATTGAATCTAAGAATTTGGATATAGTACTCGATTTTATCTAATAAATAGTTTTTCTCTATCTTTACATATTAAAAATCTTATTTATTATTATTAATTAGTCCATAGAAACAAATAGCCACTCAAACTCAATATGTAATAAAAAAAAAAAAGAGTAATAAAAGAATAATTATGTATCAAAAGATTAAGAGTATTTTTAAGCATTATATAAAATCTAATGATTACGTATAAAAAATCTAATGATCCTTATTAACTAAATCTTATATTGTCTTTCATAGTATAGTAATTAAAAAAAATTTACTTCATATTTCTTAAAATTATAAATTTCTCTTTTTCAGTAAACCCAAAAACACAAACCTCTTAGGTAGTCCTTAAATCTAATTATGTGTATTAAGAAATTTTCTAGTCAAAAGGTCCGTTACACCTACCATTAATAATAAACGTGTATACCTTTATTTCTTATAATATCTTACCCAAAAAAAAAGGCATGTTTTTCAAAAAGACAATGATTTAGAATTTCCAAGGTGACATAAATTTAAAATTTTATTAAAAAAATCACTTTACTAAATTGTAATAATTTGTACTTTGAAAATTCAATTCAAAAATTTTAATGTTTTAATACATAATAATGGTAAAAATATGAAACTATTTAAAATTGTTATCATTATAGTTAATTATATTTGTTATCTATGAGATACGTGGAGAATTTTAATATCTCGTGTAACATAATATTTAAATTTTATTTTTCATGATAGTTGTTATATAAGTTAATATATTTATAATATACGTGTCAAGAAAATTATATTTAAGGTAATATTATATTTTTATAAAAAAAAATAATATTATAATTTTAAAATTAATTTTATTTCAGCATTTCAAATTGATCTTATTACTTTTTATTAAACGATACAATTATTTTGTATTTTTAAAAATACAATTAATGTAATTGATTCAATACTTATTTTACTATGTTAATTTTATTAGTAAAATAATATTATAATTTTAAAATTAATTTTATTTCAGCATTTCAAATTGATCTTATTACTTTTTATTAAACGATACAATTATTTTGTATTTTTAAAAATACAATTAATGTAATTGATTCAATACTTATTTTACTATGTTAATTTTATTTCTTCATCATAAATTATTTTACTAAGTTAGTTTTATTTCATCATCACAAATTAATCTCATTACTTTTTATTAAATAATATAATTATTATACATTTTTAAATATAATTAATGTAATTATTCAATATTTATTTTACTTTACACCTTCAATTTATTAGTTAAACATTTTCATATTTTTCTCCTATTATAATACTTGCTAACGTATTCACTAAAAAAAAACTCTTACTAAATATCATCATATTACTCTCTTCTATTATTTATTATTCATATTCCTTTTGATTTGAGTAAAAAAAATTATTAAAAAATTTCTTATAAATTAATCTCATGAAAATAATGTAAATAGTACATTATTTATGATTACTATTAATAATAATGACACAAAATTATCACAATTATCATAATTTTATGAAAATATTAAGGATCATAATAAAATATTGCGATTTAAAATTTTTAAACATTGTTAGAAACTAATTTTAATGATAATTATTAAAAAAAACAACATTATTAATAATAACAATAATAAGTGTTATTTCTTTTTCTGCTAACATACATTCATTTTTAGCATATAATAAAAAAAATTTAATAACTATTTTTATTTAAATTTAATAAATACTTTTAATTTAAAACTGCAATAATTTAAATTTAATGTAATTAACTTTTTATGTTGTAACAGTTTCTTATATTAACCTGTTATTATATTATAATTATAAAAGATATATAATTTTAATTTTATTTCATAAAATTTGTATATAAAAATATTTAAATTTATAGATACTATATATAAATGTTAATCATGAATAAATAAGACAAAATGTTATGAATAAATGATTAATCAGACGAGTAAATAATTTTTAATTCTATTCTAATTGATTATTTTTAATAATAATGTTTTTGGGAAATTTTTTAATCCTTTCATATCTTTTAATTAATGATTTTTTGTTTATTTTTAGTTTTAATTTAAATTTTAATATATTTTTTTTTTAATAATTATAGATAATAATATAAATAATTTATTATAAATTTAAAATATAATTTATATATCTAAAAATATTTTTATTATAAATTTTAAATATAATATAATTATATTTTAAAAATATTTATTTAATATAAATTTTAGGTATTTAAAATAAATATTATACTGATCGCAAATCAGATTTAGGATTATAATAATACTTGTCTATCAGCAGACAAGATTCCAACAACACATACACGTTGGATAAAATGTTGGGTAAAAAAAAAAAAAAAAAAAAAAAAGCATGAATGGGAAGAAACATTTTGGTATAAATATTTTATTTGGGAGCTTTAAATGGAACAAGCCACAACAACCTTAATCTACTGAGTCATGGTGGCGTTGAAGAGGGAGCAATGCAACCGCACAAAACACGATTCCAGCTTCTCCCATTGGAAGGTTCACCTTTCTACTCTCATCTAACTATTGTGTCATGCTTCTTTATTACATCAATCTCTGTTTTTTCTTTCCGGTGTTTACAAAATCACTGTTTCTTCACATTTATAAGTACCAAACCACTTGTGCTAACGGCTTTTGTTGCGAGGTTGTAATTGGAATGGAAGTTGTTTGTTTGATTTGAGGAAAGGTTACAAAAACCTCTTTGGTTTCAGATTCTGATTGGCCCTTCTGATTGGGAAGACCATTCCAAAGGGAAGGAAGGATGTGCAAGGTACAGGATTCATAACCTCCCACAACAATCGGGTCCAGGGGTCTATGAGCTCGGAATTGCTGTGTCTGGTACTGGTTTGGGGCGTGAAATTTACAAGCTTGTCCCTCACTCTCACCGCATAGTGGTAGTTTACCTTGGGCAAGCTGACAATGTGAGATCACGGCTCCAGCGTTATGGCAGAACTGGGGCTCATTTGGACAACAATGCCTCTTCGGATGATTCTTCTCTCCAAAAGGGGCGCCCCTTGTTTCAGGAAGTGTTTTCACAAGGGTTCTCAATCGTTTATAGATGGGCTTCTGTAAGTACAGTGCATATCACAAATTTCATGTGCTTTTTATTTATTTATTTATTTATTTTAATTTACAAAGGGCAACATGGTTTTCGCTCAACATGTATTGATGTGTCCACAAAGCTAGATGACTGTTGGCTTCTTCAACATCTTATCCCCAATTCATAAATGTCCTTGTGTCACATAAGCATGTCTCATAGTAGTATGACTTGAAGAAAGGGTTTATGCGTAATTAGATTTCACACTTCTTTAGTTACACATTAATCATATATAATGCTGGCATAATTCATCTGCATGAACACTAGGCCTTAGCTCAATTGATTAAACGGGGACTATTATGAGAATCAATTTTGGTGCAACCTCAAGGTTTTTGGGGTCCCAGACCGTATTTGTTCGCAAATTCCTATCACATCAAGGATTGCAATGAAACTGCAACTATGACCATAATTTAAAACCTTGATAAGAATTCCTTGCTATGTTTATGCTTGGTATCTTTGATTGAGAATTCTTATTGGGGAAATACTGTTCAAAAAAGGACACACTTGACATGAACTGTTGCATTTTGTGAAAATTTGCCCTCATGATTGAAAAAATGCAGATTTGCATCTAACAGAATAGGAATGCAAATATTTGAAGTTTAATGATGTACATGAGCAAGCAATGCTTTTTTGTTGAACAGATGCAAAGCAAGGAAGATGCCCTGCGAACAGAAGCCCAGCTGCTCAATACATTTGATTATGCATGGAACACAAGCAATAATGGTACCCGGAGGCCTGATGATATTCTTCAAAACCTCCATAAAATTGCTTCAGGCACTAGAACACTTTCAGATGTGGCCAGAGCGCTTTTACCTTTCACTCAGAAGCAAGTGGGTATCAAAATTAAATCAAGCAAGCTGCCTCTGGCAGATGACAAATCAGATGAAGCAGACAATGGCAGCTATAATTTCCTACCTCGAGTATTTAACTTTAACAGATCACGTCCTAGGATACTTCAGGATACCACTGGCATCGCTCGAGAACACGAGAATGCTAAAATTTGTGGAGTGGCCTTGGGTGATGGTTCAATTTGTAGAAGACCACCAGTTGAGAAAAGAATGAGGTGTCCTGAACACAAAGGAATGAGAACAAATGTGTCCACTTCCAAAGCAATCAGGGCACCCAAGTCAGAGAGCACTGTGGTATTAGAACCCAATGTGTATTCTCAAACAAATGGCAATGGATACAGACACCAAAATGCCAGCCAAGATGTAGAAGACCCTCAACAAACATCGGTTGGGAATCCTGTTGATGAAAGTCTCATAAGCACTAATATATGTGGAATCATCTTAAATGATGGCTCCACCTGCAGAAGACAACCAGTTAAAGGAAGAAAAAGGTGTCATGAGCACAAAGGGATGAGAATTCATGCATCGATTCAAACAAAGGGCAATGGATACAGATACCAAAATTACAGCCAAGATGTTGAAGTCCCTCCACAATCACAGGTTGGGAGTCCTTTTGATAATAGTGTCACAAACACCACTATATGTGGAATCATCTTGAATGATGGATCCACCTGTAGGAGACAACCAGTTAAAGGAAGAAAAAGATGCCATGAGCACAAAGGAAGGAGAATTCGTGCATCTTTTCATGTAAATCAGAAATAACTGGCACTGCACAATTTCTGCATAATATATTAGTTCAGGCTTACACAAAATACTAGCAAACCATATGGATTCATGCATTACAATTGGAGCACCATAACCCAGCAGCTCTCTATGAAAAAGGTAACCAACCAGTTGTAGGTAACAAAAAAATGTTGGCAGCACAAAGGCATTGATGAAATGATGGAAGGATGAATATATTTGTAGTGGGGGATAAACCTCTTGTAATACTAGGAAGATTTTGATGTTTCCGATTGTTGTTATATAACAATGTATGTTAGGCCCATTAAATCTTGTAGTTGTTTTTATCTGTATTGTACAAGTGATGATTGTTTATCGTCATCATGAGTGCCAATTTTTACATTATGGTTAGAAAATGTGCCTATCGTGACAGCAACAGCATCTCAGAATCTCAGATACCCGTTCTAAATGTCGTTGATTACTAAATTTTTCTTTCCTATACGAATAGAAGATTATAAATATTCTCTTTCTTTTTTAACTCTAAAGATTATAAATATTCGAACAGAGGTTTAAGCCATCAAACTGATTCAGGCCACTATAATGACCCTGTTACACATTTGCTGTCAGTTAAACCAATCTACACTAGTCAATCTGTTTCACCATCTACTAGGTAAATGTAAGAGAGACATACGTCCACGTAGCACGTCGAATGAACATAAATATTTCTTCTTTCTTGTAAAAGACTAAAAGTTGGTTTGCGCGTAGGCGTAGCCAATGCAAAACATAGAAAAGCTTAAAATACAACTAAATCTCAACTTGGTGCTGGAATGTAAACCAAAATTATGCTATTGCTCTTTTCAATAGAAAGACGGTGCTTCTGTAATACATTATTAAATTTCACTTCAAAAATATTCCTAGAGGGTGAATACAAAATTAAGCTTGTTGGTCCGGTGGTCGTAAGATCTGTCTTGGAATATGGGAGTTGTCTATGTATCATAATTATATATATATATGAAGGGTATTTGTTTATTTCATGAATAAGTTTATTTAGACTTATTTCGTACAATAATTCATATTCTACATTAAAATTTAAAATTCTTAATGCATAGATTAAATCTACAAATTTTTTAAATATTTAAAAATTATTTAATATTTTGTTTCATTAATTTAAATCAATTTATAAAATAATTTTATGATTATCCACGATTGAATTATTGAAATTTGATGTAAAACATGAGTTATTGAATGGAGTAAGTCTATGTAGATTTACTCGTAGAATAAACAGATCCCTCATATATATATATATAAGGAGGGATTCTTTTACTCTAGAAGTAAGTCTACCTAGACTTACTCCGTTCAATAATTCATGTTCTACATCAAATTTCAACGATCCAACCGTTCAATTTAAAATTCTTATTGTATAGATTAAATCAGCAAATTTTTAGAAAATTTGAAAATCATTTGATACTTCATTTCATTAATTCAAATTGACGAATAATTATAAAATCATTAGTAAGTTATTTCTCAAATATATTGGGCATGATAAACTTTGTTTTTGACACTCATTTTGGAGCTTAATATCAAATCATTAGTACATTTTCTTCCTCTTTCCATCTTTTTCTTGAAGGCTACCATGGAAATGAATAACTAAATCACTCCTTGTTTGGAATTGGATATAATCTTTCTTTTATGAATATATATATATATGTATATATATATATATATATATACACACACATTTGGTATAGATCATAATTATATTTTATCAAGAAATCCCGATGCATTTAGTGTAACACTATATACTCTCTTAATTATTGTTTTTTACTTTCAATAATTAATTGTTGTGTTGAATTGTTGTTGTGGAGAGACTATGGGAATTAGGATGTTGAATGTGACTCAAATTAGAGGTTTTCTATCTTATTCGTGCCGGAAGCAAGATTAGTGATGTCAAGCGTGAGGGGAGAGAAAAGCATGAAAAGCCTATGACTTGATCATGTCTAAAGTGAGAGAATTGATATATATTTTGAGATATTTCAAAAGGTTAATTAATTTATGAAATTATTTTGAATTTAAATATAAATATAATTTAAATTCAAAATAATTATTTTATTAATTATGGATATTAAAGCCTAATTAATATCAGTTTTAATAAGATATAATAACTTGATCATTGTAGTTTTAATTAATTTTAATGATCAAACATTTCAAAATTAATTGGTTTTAATTATAATGATTAATTATAGTTATAACGGTCAATATTTCCTCTTTTTTGGGTTAAAAAACTTGTCAATTTTACATCCCCAATCTAATACTAGAAAGATCCTATTGTATCTTGGGGGATGTATGTGGGAGTCTAAAGATAAGTTCTTTAGGATAATGCATTGCATACCTCAGGAATTCAAATTAGTTCGTGTTTTCAGTATCCATAAACAACAAGAATTGTCTCTGACTTGGTAACGTTGAGCCCCGGGTTGTGTGGAGTGACATTGGATGCCAAGAGAAAGAATTGTTTCTGTTTGAATTAAGGTTGAGCACGAATTTCGCCAGGCTAAGCATGATTGTCCCAAGCAAGGTTGTCAATCTTAAGAGTTTACTTAACCTCGTTGAGGTCTCATAAACTCTGAATCGTAAACTCATAAGAGTTTACTTAATATAAAAAATATGTTATAATACTTATAAATAATATAATAACTCAATATTTCATCTTTATATTAAATTAAAATAGCAAATTACAATATTAAAGTAGCAATGTTTAGTAACAAATCATGCAAAATTTCACACAAGACAAAGTTCTTAAAATAACATAAAAATTAAGAAAAAAATAATTTTTGCTTTTAGAAATAAAAATGGTGAGGTTACTTGAGATTGCTCAAAAAATAAGTTTACTTCCGAGTTGTATAGGTAGGCTGAGCAATCTCGTAAACTTGGCAATTATTACATGTTGTCACTCAAGATCGACAATCATGGTCCCAGGGGGTCTTTGATCTCCTCCACCCCAGACATGGGTTAAATGACATCGGACGTGGGTGGGATAGAGAGCTCTCTGTCACAATAATGTTGAGCGCGAGGTGAATGGTGCCGAACATGAGTTGCTTTACAAAAACTTGTTTGATTAGGGAAAAAAAATTGAACATGGAAAGATTAGGTAAATCTATTGTATGTTCTATGTTGATTAATATTGATGGTTTTATATTCATTGATTTGAGATAATGTATATAAATGAATAACTATTGAATTATTGAGGCATCGGTGCTGAGAATACTTTTGGCATTTAGGCATATTGTAATGATTAATTGTTGAGCTATAAAGGCAGTATTGATAGTGCTTAAGACATTTAGGCATTAGAGTGTGTTGTGTTGACCAACTTAGGAATATAGGAGAAGGTGATTTTGAAAGTTGGATATCCTATTATGCAGATATTGGCATGGTGCTTTGTGAGTCTAGTTGTTGAAACCCTTATTGAGTAGTTGACTCTTGAAATAGATAGTTGAGTCTCATTTAGGCCTTTAGTTGATACGGTATGTGGGTCAAGTTGAAGCATACATATATAAAATGACCAACTAAGTAAGGTACAAGGTCAAAGGCTTATTTTCTAGCTGAGTACTAAAAAGGTGTAGTATTTGAAGGATAATCGATATGTTAATCTCATAAGGGCTTAGTTATGCAAGCTAATATTATGGTAGATTGTCATCCAAGTTGTTCTACTTTAGAAGAAATATTAAACTTCTTAGTTCTACTAGCGAAATTCAAGAAACCATGTTATGGATTAATATTCAAATTAGTTGTTGATCTAATAGATGTAAAAATATCGTGTTAGTTCAGTAGGTCAAGTCACTCAGACTACTCACCTTATTATGGGAGATTTTCGTAAGTAAATACGTAACGATAACTTTATATAATTGTTATTTGATTGACAACTTATGAATTTTATTTTCAATACTAGATCATTATACTTGTTTATATATTCATATATTATTATTTTATTCATTCATTTGATATACACCTATATAAAATATTGTGCATAAATCTAAATATTATATATATATATATATATATATTAAACTTAAATAACTATAACTTTATTTTTTATTGCTAGTAATTAAATCGTTAAGTCTATGAATGACGATGAGTCATTTCATTTAGTACATAAATAAAATTTATGTAAATCTCTCTCTTTATCTAATTATAGATTGAAAATATGTTTAATTTAAAAATACATGCTTATTTTTAATATTTTCTGTTGCAAAAGTAAACGAAGAAATTTAAAATTTACCAATCAATTTGAATAAAGAACATATACGAAAATGAGGTAGTGAATAATTAACTTCGATTACCTTGAAGCTTATTTAATTTGAGTTTAATTTATATATATTATCAACTTAATACATCTTCTGCGTGCATTTTTATCAACGGGAGATATACGATGAGTCGGATTTTTATTTATATAAAATGAAAGAAATAAATATTAGTTCTTAAATTTCAATCATTCAGATGTATTTCTATTTTTTGAATTTTCCAAAAGGTAATTTTGATTTTATTTTCACAATAGGTGGCGTTGTGGAGGTGATAAATTTTGACAAGAAAAACAGATATTTTTGCGATAAGTGAACACTAAACCAGAAAGCATGGAGCTCAAACTCCACGCATCAATGGCCTCTGTGGGATCCATTCCACTCGCAGGAAACTCTGTCGTATTGACCCATTCCTCTTCCTCCGTTCCTTTCTGCACCTACGCGGTTCCCGATGCCAGCAGGCGCCGAAACGGCACCAACACCGGTCGTTCCTCTCAAAAAACCCTTCCTTTGCGGAAGGGGAACCACCCCAATGACCCCAAATTGAAGCTCGACCATGAAAACCAAAACGCCCCATTACCCTTGAATGTGGACTTGGTGGCCTTGTGTGAAGAGGGTAAGCTCGAACAAGTGTTGGAACTCATGGGTCATGGTGCTCTTGCGGATTATCGCGTTTATCTCGCGCTCTTGAATTTATGTGACCATACAAGGTCGCTTGAATCGGGAAAAAGGGTGCATGAATTCCTGAGAAGATCGACCTTTCGTGGGGACATTGAATTATGCAACAGATTGATTGGAATGTACTGCAAATGCGGCAGTGTGAAGGATGCACGCCTAGTGTTTGATAAAATGCCGGAGAGAAACATTGTTTCGTGGCATTTGATGATTAGTGGGTACACGACCAGTGGTTTAGGGGGTGATGGTTTGTTGGTTTTTCAGCAGATGAAGCAAGCAGGGGCACCACCTGCTGAGGAGACTTTTGAATTGGTTCTGGCTGCGTGTGCACGGGAAGAAGCTGTGGAAGAAGGCTTCTTGCACTTTGAGTCCATGAAGGACTATGGAGTTGTTCCTAGCATGGAGCATTACTTGGAGGTTATTAACATTCTGGGAAATGCTGGTCAATTGAACGAAGCTGAGGAGTTCATTGAGAAGATACCAGTTGAGTTTGAAGTCGAGGCTTGGGAGTCTCTTCGAAATTTTGCACGAATTCATGGAGATTTAGATCTTGAAGATCGTGCGGAGGAGTTGTTAACGTGCCTTGATCCTTCAAAAGCCATTGCTGATAAACTTCCCACACCTCCAAAAAAGCAGTCTGATATTAACATGCTAGAGGAGAAGAATAGGGTGACTGAGTATCGGTATTCTATCCCCTATAAAGAAGAGGCTCGTGAGAAATTGGGAGGTTTGAGTGGGCAGATGAGGGAAGCAGGTTATGTGCCGGATACAAGATATGTCCTTCATGACATTGATGAGGAGGAAAAAGAGAAGGCCCTGCAATATCATAGTGAACGTTTGGCAATTGCTTATGGTCTCATCAGTACTCCGCCGAGGACTACGCTTAGAATCATCAAGAACCTACGTATATGTGGGGACTGCCACAATGCAATCAAAATTATGTCAAAGATTGTTGGAAGGGAGCTCATTGTTAGGGATAACAAGCGATTCCATCATTTCAAAGATGGAAAATGCTCCTGTGGAGATTATTGGTAGTGTTGTTATGGTACTAAACTGTATATACTATTGGTGTTGTACTGCTAGATTGTTTATTTTCTGCCAAATATGTGTAAGGTTCAAATCCATAGTCAGGCTGATCAAAGAAATTTTTGTTCCATCTATGAATTGACTTGTGTAGATCCTCTCTGTCGTAAATGCTTGTTAGTAAAGGTTAAGTGGCCGACAATATGCCAAATTTCCTTCTAACAATAATTGATATGCTGCATAATGTTTATAGTGGTTTCTGCATAATGTTCTTTTAGCAGCCTAGAATTTAGATAGCGTGTACATCCTGTAGATGGAATGTGGAGCATTTTCTACCTCAGTCCCCTCAATTTAAATTGTAACATTCGCAAGATACATCTTTTTCCTTCTTTCTAATTGCCCCCATTCAAAAGGGGTCAAATTATCTTTTATTTATAAGTACATGGTTTGTCCCATCTAAACAACATACTGTTGTTTCCTCAAATGATGAAATGAATGAGACCTAAGGGGTCATTCCTTGGTAATGGAAACCTGGAATATAGAAAACTCATCATTACGTGTTAAATTGAGAACCAGAAGAGCCAACGAAAATTGGAAGGTAATAGAAATCTGGCAGCTGCTTTAGAATAAACCAAATGCAGTGAAGAGATATTAGATATAAAGATTTCTATATTATTCTTTCTACTTGCCCCCATTCAAAAGATGTCAAATTATCTTTTATTTATAAGTACACAGTTTGTCCTATCTAAACAACATACAGGTGATGAAATGAATGAGACCTAAGGGGTCATTCCTTGGTAACGTATACAGAAGTACAATTTGTATCCTATTTGAAGATGGAATATAATCTCCATCTCGCTGTACAACTCAAAAGAATGCAATGTGCAGCTAGAATTATGTATGAATAACAGTCAATATGACTGAGACCAAGACCCCAGTTTGAAGCCTATGGGGAGTTAGCAAGCTAAAATGGGAAGAGGTTCATTTTATATTATTACTGCCAGGATGGCCGGTTCTTTTGTTGGTTACCACTTCAACTGCAGCTTCATCTCTTGATGGCACTCTCAGGTATGATTTCATAGTATCATAAACTGTAAAGCCGATGGCCACAGATGGAACGACCTGAATTACAAAAATCAAGACTTAGCTCATACAGAAGAATTTTATAGTGTTGGTTGCTTTGAATAGCTATTATATTTTTATCACCTTTATGTAATTGATGCTCAGCCCTGAAAAGAGTTGCTTCCAGCCTTGCTTTTGGGCAATCAAAACCATAGATTTCAGAGTCCCCTTCAATTCAGCGTTATCAGATGGCAGGGATTTTTGAACCTGGCCAGGCGGTTGTCAACTTTTATTTGATTTCATTTGTATCTATCATTATCTGGATGATCAACTGAAGTAAATTACCTGCATTTGCCTCCTGACAACTTCAAGAGGATATGTGAAGGTCTGACCCAATAACCCTGCCACAGATCCACATGTGAGTTTCGCCATGATGCTTTTATTGTATTCCTCAGGAACATGGCGCTTCATTTCCTCATAGAAGTAGAATTTCAAACCCGCATATGGGAATATTCCAATGAGACTCGGAGCTGTTGCCATGAGTAAACATAAGAGTTTTGCATTGCCAAGGCAACAGTTATATATGATACTAAAATACTAAATTACTAGAATAAGATATAGGCTGATTTAAATTCACACCTACTCCACGATAGAGACCCCTAATGCCACCCTCCCTGTAAGTCTTAGCAAGACAATCAAGGATCCCTTTGTAAATTTGTTCATTATTCACCATCCCCGAAGCATTCAACTTTGTTGGACTAATAATCTGCAGTTTAAAATGTAGAACAGTTCACAGAATAATTAGTATAAATTAATGAGCAAAAAACTTTGTTTGAATTAACTTCTGACAAGATCTTTTACCTGATAAGCTAACTTGGTTCGAATCAAGTCAAGTGGATATGTAAAAAGCACAGCTGTCCCTCCGGAGAGCGACCCTGCCACAAGGTCAAGAGTAGGGCCTTTCGAAACATCAGGAAAAGTTTGTATAATCCATCTGCGGTATTCCTCATACGACATATAATGAATAGCTGCGTAAGGAATAATCCTTGCAACACTCGCTCCATTTCCTCTGCAAATAAATTCATGGACGCCAATAAATTATTTATTTATTGGTCTTGCTACTCATATCTCTCAACTGTGATGGATTGAACATAAATTTTTTTTCCTTTGCAATTAAAATCGCAGCCAAAAACCGTTTTTAGAACCTTAATTATGGGTTTAGGTGAGAATGTACCTGTAGAAGCCCAAAGGGCCTTCTGTTTTGGCAATTCTGATAGCTGATCCTAACAGCCCTGTGGTCTGAAATTCGGCCCTTCGCGTCTGCAAGAAGCGATTGATTGATTACAAAGGACAAACACGGCATAGGAAACGATGATAGTTGAAAAAGACAGAATCATGTTTATGTTAACTTGAAAGTTGAAACACATCACATTCCAACTCCAAGAATAGAGGAAAAAGAATGAAAGCAAGAAAGGGGAAAGAAAAAAGAAAGAACCTGAAAGAGAATTTTGAGACGTTCGAGAGGAGCGACGACGGTCTTGGCGAGGCCGCCGGCGACACCTCCGGCGAGAAGCTCCTTGGCGAAGAGGGGCGTGAGATCGAGCACGTCCTCTTGCCACTGCTTCGCCATTCAGTTGAGAGAGAAGGAAAAAAAGAGCCTCTTTTTCTGTGAGAAGTGAGAAGTGAGAAGCAGTAACAGCAAAAATAACGAATTGGGTTCTTAGAATTGTTGAATAGAATGGAATTGCGTGGTTGAACAATGAACAGAATCATTTAGACATCCAACCATGAGACTCCAACTCAGACCAAGTCCCCACGACCTTCTTACCATCCTCTCCCATTTTCATGCTCGCTTCCATTATTTAACCATTCAAAATTCACTTTTTTTGTATGCTCAATTTATAAATATTTCTCAAAATTAAACCAAATATATGGATATTTATTATTATTATTATTATTATCTATTATTTATTTACATTGAGAATATTTGTTAATATCAGTAAAAAAAATTATCTATAAACATAGTTTATACACAATTCCAAAATTAATTTATTCTCCTAAGTTGTAATGTGATTTTCGTTTTGATATCATATTTTAGTTTTTGAAATGTAAGTGACAAATATTTGTTTTATATTATGAAAAATTACAAAATAAATAAATATTTTTTAATGTATAAATAATTTATAACAAATAAATATTTTTTTATCATATAAATTAAATTTGATATTCATAATTTATCATTTTCAAATACTAATAAAAAAATGTTGCGATGAATTAAAAGATGAAAATAAAATGACAAATTGGAAAAACTAAAAGAGATTAACAAAAATATTTGCAAACGTTCTCATTAAAGAAATAACTAAAAATATTCTTAATAAAAATTGATTTCTAAAATCAGAGTGGTTCAAGATAATTAATTTAATTCATATAAAAAAAAAGGTTTGCTAATTAAATTTTTTTATTGTTAAAAATTTAATTCGATACTAAAATAATGTTCATATTTATTTATATATAAAAGAAGAAGAGTTCCAATAATTAATGTAGATAATTATTATTCACTATTTGAAATTTAAATAATATATCTAATATATTTAAATTTCATTAATTTTAATAGATATTATTATTTCTTATATATTTCTAATCTTTTTGTACTTCTATCAGTTTTTCTATCATATATATATATATCTTGGCCTTCCATTTTATTTATGTTAATATTGAAGAGTCATGGATACATGATATGTTTTTGCATATTATTTGTTTGGTGGTTATTTGTTGTTCTAGTTGAAAATCATTTTTAGTGCATGCTGTTTTTTATTTATTTTATTTTTATTTTGTGTTTAATTTGAATATATATATAATGTTTTGTAGATGAAACACCTAAGTCATAATCACCATCATATTTCGGAAGATAATAAAGAATGCATCAATAATTTGAAGAGAATAATGTTTTATTGAGAGATCATTTCTAGGTTACCTGTAAACTCATCAATTATTTTTATATTTTATGAAATCTATGGATTAAGGAAAAAGTTTAAATTTAGATTCCTTACATATATTATTATTTTTTTCATATCATTTATAAATTTTATAAAACATATGTTAAATTTGACACATCATTGATTTTTTTTTTCCTCATTGTATACATTTAACAACACATACCTTCCAAATTTTTATAAGATTGTTATGTTGAGGTTTAAAAATCCTATTCAAGTAATAAATGAAACATATAATCTGATATATCTTATTGTTAGCTAACCTATGAATGAGAAAAATATTGCATATCAAACAACTTAAAAGAAGAATTCTATATCATTTTTGGAGTGCTACAAGCCTACAGGTCAAGAATTACATCTACTTAAATGCTATTTAATTGTATTATTTTAAGTAGTAAAATTTAATTTATTCTTCAAAATTTACATGGTGATGGTGTACTATCTCACCCCAAGATTTTCTATTAGTTGAATGATAGATATTGATCACATAGTGTGATAAACTATGCAACTCTTTGTGTTTTTGTTATTTCATTTTAAGTATATTAAATTTATAAAGCTTAATTAATTAGTGTAATTAATTATCACTAATTTAGAAAGATGAAACAACTCAATCAATTGATAATTTCAACAAATATAAATTACTAACATTTTTAAGCCAACAATGAAACAAAAACACAATTTCGCAACCAAGAAACTGTGCACAAGTGATTAATATATTAAACCAAAGATTGAATCGTTCAGGTAGTGCTCAAGTTCAACCCTTGAAAAAAATAATCTTTAACCAAACTTTACTTACCTCTTAGTTGAACCAAATTAATCTCAGGCAAAGTCTTAGAACACTGGTGCAAAAAAAAAACAATTTTGCAATTCAAATTTTTAAAAGATTAATTAATTTATGTCTAACACATACCACAAAAATGCATGCAAATAGCAAAACTATTTAAAAAGAATTCAAACAATTGATGATTAAGACTATTTGTTTTTTAGTTTGATAAGGATATATAACTTTTTTTCACTGAGTTATCTCCTATAAGGATAAAGAAGTACTTCTAGTTGTGACTTTATACCTAAGTTAAAATCAAACCTTAATTCTTAATTAAAGAGCATAATTATTAAACTATTCAAACTAACAACTTTTAATATAAATAAATGTTACACAATTAAATTTTTCTATTATTATAAAAGAAACATAACAATAATTTTAAAATATAAAAAATACACTTTAAAATATAAAATTAATAAATATAGTTTTTATCATATTAATTATATAAAAAAAGAAGAAGAAAAATAATTTAAAAATTGACTAAAACAACTAAAATTAATATATATATATATATATATATATATAT